CTGCAGTACAGGCATTTAACCACTGCGCCACCAGGGCTGATAAGGAAGGAAGGAATGTTGTCATATAAGCAGTTGTATCAGGTACAAAACAGAAGCTGCTAAGGTAGACCAGGGGAGATGCAGATGGGCGGCCCTGTGCTTCCCCGGGAAGCAGAGGATCGGGGCCACTGCTAGCACGCACAGCAGCCCCAATTCTCCCATTTGCCGCCTCTTAAAAGAGTGGCAAAATGCCACTCCTATTAGAGATGGCAAAAGGCTGCCCCAAGAGCCACCGTGCGGCTCTTCTCTGGCTCTTCCGCCATAACGTGTGAGGATGCTACGTGCGGAGGATGTCCTGATGCCAAGCACCATGCGTAAGGGCACGTGATGTCAGGACATCTTCGGGGAGGGGTTGGGGTGGCCAGCGTGCAGCTGCCCCTCCCCTTCCCTGCCTCCAACTCACTGCAAGGGGCCCGTGTGCAGAATCCCCAGGTCTGCTATAAACACTGGGAGCCTGGCTTTCTCCTCTGGTGTATTTTCTGTTTAATATCTCTACAAGTCTCCCACTTTTTCATGGCCTCACATGAATCTTCACATCTAACTGTTCCTGACCTTTGCTATGCCCTGACTCTCTTAATGGTTCTACACAATGTATTTAAAATGTGAAGATCTTCTACATACTTTTTGGAAGGCTGTATGCAGCAAGCTAGTTCTAGGAAGTACATTACAGGTATACCTCAGTTAATGCGGTAGATGTATTCCTGGGCATTGTTTCTATAAAATAAATGTTGGGAAAAGAGGCTATTGTAACAAAGAATAGGGATATGTTCCCATACCACAAAACAGAAACACAATTTGACAAGCATGCTAGATCCTTGTCCTTCCTGGCTTATTGAAGAGGCCATAGGAGGACTGGCTAAATCGATAATTCGAGCGAGGCATGGTCTCAGCATTCTACAGGACAGAACCATGGCAGATAAAGTGGAATAATAGTGCTACAATTCTGTAGTCTAAATGGGCCTCCAAAGTCTTTGTTTTCCCAACCTCCTTCACCATCTTCCCAATACTGTTGCTGCTAAAACAAACAAACAAAACAAAACATTTCAAGCTGGACAGAAGATGAGAATTGAGGCAGAGCAGGCATAAAAAGATTTTATACACAAGAGCTGCTTTAGCTTGTCACATTCATTTTAAAACCGGTTTATCTCTTCCGGATTAAATTTTAAATTGAGTGGCACCCTGATAGCATCACAAGGATTTAGCTGCCAAATCTGCCATCCAGGCTCATCCCAGGTCCAAAGGATAAACTCCTTTGTTAGGGGCTTTGTAACTGACAAATGTCTACACTGCAACCATGTAGGGCTTTAATGGAGGGACGGTGTGATAAGAAAAGCTCTCAAATAGTATTATCTGGTTTCATTCTCTAATGCAATTGAGGCAAGAACTGGGCTTGTGGAATAAACTCCATAGTCTTATCTGAGTATTGACTCATTCTAGTTCTAGCTGTGCTGAGTCCTTCTGCTATTACCTTCTTTGAATCCTGGTTTGCTACCTATGTCTGAGCTCTAAAATGCAACTCTGCAACACTGCAAGCATTTGTATGCTTCCCAGATGACTTTTTCAATTGCTGCCCCAGACTGTGGAATGACCTGCTGGAGGAGATGCAAGAGCTGAAAATACTGACTGCTTTTAAAACAGCTCTAAAGATATATCTCTTCTGGCAGGCCTACTCAGTCAGTTTTTTAATCATGATTTTTAATTGGTAGATTTTAAATAATGTATTTGATAAGTATAATTTAATGCTTTTATAATAGTGTATTTTAACTATTGGTTTTATCTGTTTTCTTTTTAATTGTGTCTTTTATTTTAGCATAATGTATCCTGCCTTGAGCCATGAGAAGAGGCGGGAAAGAAATATCATAGGTTTTTTTGTGGGTTTTTCAGGCTGTGTGGCCATGTTCTAGAAGAGTTTCTTTCTGATGTTTCGCCAGCATCTGTGGCTGGCATCTTCAGAGAATGTGCTTCCTAGAACTAGCCTTTCTCTGAAGATGCCAGCCACAGATGCTGGCAAAACGTCAGAAAGAAACTCTTCTAGAACATGGCCACACAGCCCGAAAAACCCACAAGAAACTATGGATGCCGGCCATGAAAGCCTACGACTTCACAAAGAAATATCACATTATTAGTAGTATTAGTATTAGTATTTATTATTACCGGGGCTGTCTGTGACATGGACTTTCTTTCCCAGACTCCTAGGGAGGAGAATAGGAGGCACTGAGACCACATGCCAGGTCTGCAACTGGAGACATTATTGAATGGCACAGCTAATTGAATACTTGTGCAGTTGGGAGACTGTTCACAGAACTTCCCCCTGAATGAAGAAGGATGCCTGAACCATGCATCAGAAACATAGCAGCCATGCTTTGAGGTGATGGCATGTGATAAGTATCACCAAAGTCACTTTTTATCCTGCTTTAATCATTGTTTAAGAGCCACATGCAATAAACTCCTTTGACTGGAATCCTTTTGGTGCACCAGGCTAGGGATTATACTTTTCCCAGGGTTACATAGTGATGGTAAAGGAAGTCAGACCATTGAGTTTGTCACACAGCACTTTCAGGAACAGGAACTGAACAGAATGAAATGGCACAGAATGGGGTGAGAATGCAAGTTACCACACAAGAGAACGCCGCCGATGCCGCCAGGAGTCCCCAAGCTGTTCCCCAGCCATTCCTGGCAGCTGATTTTGAAGAATGACTGGCAAAAATTTTGACGAATGAGCTGAATAAGGAGTTTTTGGCACAGAAAAAAAACACGACTTACCTTGCCCAGTTTGAATCCTCTTCCAGAATGCAGCTGGGTTGTATCACTCGCATTTTACCACTGATGCCACCTCCTGGTGGCATCCTGCCTAAAATCCCGGCCCGTCTTTGCAAGTAGGCTAGCTGAAGGTAGATTCTAGCTGGGTTTTAGGAGGGATGCAGCCAGGAGGTGGCATCAGTGCTAAATGTGAGTGATACAACCTGGGTGCATCCCAGAAGAGGATTCAAACTGGGCAAAGATAAGTCACATTTTTTTGCTGTGTGAAAAACTTTTTATTCAGCTCAGACTCCTGGCTTCTCCTGCATCTTTCCCCACATTAGCCTTATTCTTCTCTTGCAAACAGCCTGCTGCACACAGCCCTTGTTCTGATCCGACATTTCTCCCATCTGTCCTAAATCTCTCTTCATGTCCCTTTTCCTTCCTTCTTCTCCTCATCTGTGTCTGTCAAATCCTCAGAATCAGCTGTAGTCTGATTATTGCTTTACCTGTTTATGATCTACTCCATTGTTGTATAACAAAGTGTGTTTATTTAACTTTAAGAGGAGAGTATTGGTCTTGTTGAATGGGTTGTTCATGAACCCACAAAACCCACAAAAGCGTGCAATGATTTTCACATGCAGAACACAGTCGTACATTAGAAGCTCATTACTAAAGCGAGAAAGAGGGTAGAACATGCATTTGGTTTTCACATAGATGTATGCAAATCCTGATAATAGTTTGGGAATCACTTTTTTGTGCATGTGCACAGAAGAAATAGCTGAGTCACCAGAAGTCACCTAGTGAAATAAACAATTTTCTTTATAAAAATATACTGTGCTGACCCTTATTTTACAAGAAATGGTATCTAGCCTAAGTAAAAAGGAAAAAAAAAACATTACCCAAAGAAGTAGAAAAGGTAGGAAAACAGCATAAAAGACTGTGTCCCTCTTGGCAACTGGTGTCCCTGCCTTTCCTCAATGGGTTTTCCTTTAAGAGCCCTAGCTTATGGGGAAGGGCGAGGGAGAAGAGACATTCACACAGACTAGGGAGAAGTAAGCTTTTCTCTGTGTCCCTGCCTTTGCCTCAGCAACTGTTCCTTTAAGAGCTCTGGCTACTTGCCCCAAAGAACCATGGGAAATCTGGCAACAAATACAGAAACGGGGAGAATTCCGCAAATGGCTTTCACACCAGAGCAATTGTGCAAAAAAAGTGAATTCGTGAATGAAATGGAAATTAATTTATGGTATTTTCCTGAAAATGCCTATTTGATGCGTCACATCACTTTCCTGCTGGATTCCAAGTGGTTTGTGCACAACGTCGTGTGAAAACCATTTGCTCAATTGAGCCTAATATGCTGAATAACCACAGGTTCTGACCCATTTAAACTTCCAGTTTTCCCTGTGTGATAAACTACTAAGAAAAGTTATCTGAAATGTTCATTTTACATAAGGCTTTTCCTGTGATTTATTGTCAGTATTGCTGTACCTACTGAGGATTCAAAGTCTTGGAATTACATCTTAAAAAGATAGCACAAGGAATAGAGACTGTAGCCCTGCGGATAAACCCAGCTGGCTGTTTCAATGAAGGATAACAACCACTACCAACAGCAACAGTAACCAGCATAGCATGAAGCTGCTATATAATCTCCCATTTCTTTTTTATTGCATAAGAATTATACAGATTTGGCCCCTCTTGCCAGAAACTTTAATTACTAGCACTTTCTTTCAATACTTTTCTTTCTCATTGAAATCTGCTGAAGATGTGAAGATCATTTTTTTCATTTTTGCTCAAAATGACAAGATATCTTCTCTTT